TTCATATAGTTATAACACTAACACGTTCAATTTTTTTCAGCAAATGACTCGTCCACCTTTGTCTTCTCCAAAAACTAAAACTCTCTGCCACAGCCGATTCGTGTATATCCAAACAGTCTCTGTTGAAAACCAATTTTTTTGTTTTTCACTCACTCCAGAGCTAATAGTTTGACTTAAGAAACTAAAAGCAGAACACGTAGAAGGAGATTATGACAGAAAGGCCCTTTCTGTCATAATAAGTTTCAAATATGAAGTCATAAGTTTTCATAAGTCTCAAATGTAAAAGTAGTGCTTGAAGAAGCTCTCTTGCTTGAGGGAAAAGTACGCTCTAGAAACAACATCATCTTCCATTATTTCTGCCATTAAATAGTCGGTGTATGAAAAACGGTAGCCATGATCTAAAGTCAAAAGAGTATCCCAACCGCTCGGAGATTGTCCTTTAATATGCTAAGAATTCGGCTAAAGATGTTGATATTTCCAAAGAATGATTGGCAAGCAGATTTCCGCAACAATTTTATTTGGGAAGAATTAGAAAAATATAACAAAAGCAAAATAAAAAAAAACAAACACAGAACTGTCCTTTTTTAAAAAGCTCAGTCTTAATTTAGGTTTGTGGGATGCTTGTCCTCTTGAGGAGATACTCTAGAAAGAGGGGCAACTTTCTCATAATGATTGCAAATTTCGGAATTAATACCGCACTATGAGACAGACTACTAAATGAAAAGTCATTGAGTCTTCTTCTCAAACGATGTCTTCCTAGCTTTGAAAATCAATGCGTAATACTATTTCCGGACTGCTCGCTGTCCGTTAAACACTTTTTGCGAAATCTTCCCTTCTTTCAAGGATTCAACCCGGTGGTCGGTTTAAATATTGCAAGCTACACATTTGTAGTCTTTTTCTTGATCCATTCATCAACCACTATCTTTGCATCAGATCTTCCAATCGCCTCCAACTTGTTACAAAGTTCGTCAATTGAGACTGAGTTTGCGCAGTCAGTGAGTAGGGCTTCCGTAGGACCATTCCTCGACTGGAAATACAAGATCTTCTCCACAGTATATCCCATCTCACAAGCGAGATCTTTGTAATCTCCTCCTAATGGACGCTCGGGATCTAGTTTAATGGCCAATTCTTTCCACACTTTGTATGGCAGAATGGTGATGACGTTCTTAGTTATGCAATCATCAGCCGGCTCAGGAACTCTGGGTGGCGTGGTACCTGGTCATAAGTTAAACGTATAATACTTTCAGTTGATAGTTATTTCTAAACCTCGTTTTCCTTCTCCTTGCTTTTGCTAACTTAACAGTGAGGGTCAAATGAATCATGCTGAATGTTGTTCCATGGGAAGACATTTTCTCTTTCCTTTTCATTTCGACCCTACGTCGTGGTAGTTGCCGACCAAGAAAGAATAAAATGCTTTACCACAGAGGGAGAAAGAAGTTCGAAAAGCCAAATCAAGTAGTCAAACCCGACCCGCTCGCTTTGTAGTTCAGAACATTACGCACCTGTCACGCGGACGGGTGTGTTTCCTATCTGTTCGTTTGACTCTGAGGGTGAGATTTTCTTACTCTCATCTCCTTAATTGTCCACGAAGATTTCCAGCTTACTTTAGATAGGTACTAATTAATCGCTAAACAAAGTTAGGTGAAGGAAATCTTTGCTTTGCGGACAGCAAATATACGGGGAGGAGAAACATCAACAACAACAGCAACTCCGCTTACCTTACTCTACCCTCCCTCCCACTGCAAACCTGGGTCCTGGGTTTCAATAACAGACCATTTTTCAATCATTCATCTGCTAATTAAACTTTTAACCACTTCACTGTACTATCACCAGCAGTTTAAACCTTCTTTGCACTGCCTTCTTTAACAATAGTGATTAAAGTAAAGAAATGTACTGAGCCACGAGTCCAGACTGAGCTTACCTGCTAAGCTTTTGTTTCCTGTTGCGCCTGGCGCCTCGGTATAGCTTCCCGCGAATTCACATGCCGTAGAACCATTCAGGGTCAAATTCTTCAATTTCTTATCTATTGGTGTGTTTCCTTCTCCAGAAGGTGCAGCAGAGGCTGATTTAAGTAATGAAAAAACGTAAGCTACTACATGCAATTAAGACTTTATCAGGGGCTCTCTTGGGAGGAATAGTTTCGTATTAGGGGTCATGTAAAAGTACACCCGGAAATCCCGAATGTTTTAAATAGTGACACGATCAATAAAACAATAACAAGACGCAAGAGAATATAGTCTCTTACAAGACAATATTGGCCGGTTTATAGTCTCTAGCCGATGATCACTCGCAAAAACAACCTATATCACCACTTCGTTAAATGTGGTTGCAATCGCTAACGAACTGTTTGAAACTCAAGTGATCAGGGATCAGCTTCTTTTTCTCCAGCTAGCGTTTTCTTAACGTGGCTGACATGAAATTAAAGAAAAAAACATTACAGATGTTAACACTGGGTATAAAGGCAAAGGTTCTACTTTTCCTTAGCGTCTTATGGATATGCTCAACTGAACCGGCTCTAGCAATCTTTTTGTCTTGTTTTCTGATATTCTCTGAGACTGAGGGTTGTTATTTCATTCAGCAACTGGAACATACCGATCTTTTTTTCTCGGTGGTCCACGCAGAATTTTTCAGCAACTTCCCGCATGCCAACTGTTCTGTGTAACAACGCCCGTGCAAGGCACTCGTAAGTTGCGTCAGAATCTTTTTTCTTACACCACCACTCGAGCATTTTGTAAGTACATTCGTAAGTTTGTGAGAGATCCTCTTTGATGCCGTCTAACAAGGAGTCTTCAAGCCCGAGAAGTCGGCCGACCCACATCCACTCTTTTCCAAAGTTGTTGGCAATGGAGACCATGTCAGCGATGGTAACCATGCCGGTCTTGAGTCCTTTAAGGTCGATCCCTGCAAGGCGTTGAGAGAGAAAAAAAAAACGAGACAATGAGGCGTAGCTCTTCTTGCAGAACTGGAAGCTAAGGAACCCAGACAAAATGGCACATCAGTGGAAAGAAAATCCCAACGAAAGAGGGGATAAAAAAAATCAAGGCTACGAGAGACCACTCATCCTCTCTGGATGGCTAAGGATGGAGAAGAATACGAACGACTGCAAATGAGGAACTTTGTCGAGACACACAACCTTTCAGGACGGTATTCACCCTGAGATCCTTTATAGTGTAGGAGAGCTTAGGGGACTAGTCTCGTACCCAGACCTTTCACGGCCAAGCTGTTGTACTACATTTCAGTTACATGTAATAGTGTAGTTTGATCGACCGGGTAAGTGTAGCCCTGAGAAGGACTGTTGTCCGTAGTGGTGACCGACGTTTCGAAAACCTGAGTGGAAGTCATCATCAGAATCACTTGACTCAAAAAATTTTTTTTTCTTTGTCCCACGCTCGTCACAAGACTAAAAAACATCTCTCTCTAAGAATAAATTAATTGAATGAAAAGCGCTCGTTGACTTTTGTTCTAGAGTTTTGCGGCTTTCCGAACTGCCTAGATGTAGGGAAAGGCCGCAAACTGCCATATGCTGCCCAGGATGATTACGGAGCGTCGCTCCATTTTCTGAATAGAAACCCACACACAAGTCATAATTCCTCCAATCGCTCGGACGAATTGCTAACGCTCGAAACGTCCGCTTTTAAACTCTTTACGGCGGCCAATTTACGTTATCAACTCGGTTGATAATTCTAAATTACCCTATTTCTAATTCTGTCTGAAAAGGCTATACGAGGCTGAACGAGTCGATATTCCGAAACCCAAAACAATTGAATCGAGGGCCGTATTTCGCTCAGAAGAAGGTCAGAGATAAAATAATAAAGCAGCACAACCCCGGCCACGACTTATCTTAAGTTCCCCCCCCCCTCCCCCCTACGGTATGAATACTATCGCTTTACATCGCACAAAACCACTTATACACGGCGATAACTGATAGGACACAGACGGCACGTAATAAGTGACACGACACTCTGCGATCAATTAAATCAGGCTGAGATTGATCGTTGAAAATAATAGTGAACGATACAGATTAATAATCACACGAGTGATAATAATAACCGACGGCACACTTTCTCAAATTCAATGGGTTATATGATCTACCTGTGACCTGAAGAATTTGAAGGGCTTCGTTTCCTCTTTTGCCTCGAAATAATTCAATATTGCAATGTACTGTAACAATATGTAGTCGAAAGTATACACACTATTGAGGATCAGTTTGACCCAACACAAACAAATCTGATGATTCTGGCGCAAATATGTAAAGCGTTTTTGTTATGTTTGTTTGTCTGTCTGTTATTTAAACAACTGAATAATAATGCCCAGAAATCGTCGGATTGATTACCAAAGATGTAACGCTGTTGTCGGTCACACTCGAATGGATGATCGATAAAACTGTCTCGTTTTCGACTCAGTCATTGCTAAAGGACGTAACAAACACGATATATTCTTCCAGGTGTTAAAATCAAGAATCACTGAGCCAATTATTTCAAAAGAAATTAAATAACTTGTAAGAAATCGAAGTTCTTCGTAAATTTCGCCGCTCTTTTTGCGCTGTGCAATAAGCTTCGAAACGATTTCAATCTCTTACCTTCGTCCAAAGAGCTCCTGTTTCTTCCCGCACAGTATTTTTGTGCCAAATCATTACGCGACACCACATCGTGTGAAAGTGCTTCACCTAAGGCTTGATAAGTAGCCTGGGATCCGTTTCTTCGTTTCCAAGTTTGCAGCATTCGGTAAGCTTGCTCGAAGACATTCCGTTTGTAGTCATCACATATTCTTGATACTTCTTCAGAAAGACCAAGAACACGTGCAAGCGTTTTCCAATCAACTGATAAGTCAAAGGCAAGATCAATAAGACAAGTCGTGGTAATTGACTCCATTTAGCTTCCCTTGAAAGCCTAAGCAAAATTAAATATTGCGGAGAGTTCAATTCAAAACGCGGAAGTTGGCGAGATTGGAGGAATGGTGATTGTTTCCGGTCACAAGCAAAATTGAGCCAAATGTATGTCAGCAGTTTTCAAACGAAACAAGTATGGCGGTAGATGTTGTTTTGACAAGCCACATCCAAAACACCATCGTAAATGCCATCAAATACGATCATATTCCACAGGATCTCGCCGAACGACTATCACAATATACAGATGTTTCTCTGGAGAAACAAGATTCCACGCAAGGGGTCTGCAAAGTTCCTATTCCGTTTAAGTTAGTGAAGCAACTTTGGAAATGCGTCCGAGAGAAGCATGATTCAGGTAAAATAATTCGAGCTACTTTAGTTAACGTATAAGCTCTTGAGAACATGATCTTGATACCTTTCATACTCAGAGAGTTCATAAATTTTACTTTCTTAGCCATCGGTAGGAAAAGACCTTTCTTTAAAAAGGAGTAATCCTAGAAGATTAGCAGTATAGAAGTCGATCGAGAAACGACACTCTCGATCAATAAAATTGATAGCCCGACTTTTACATCGTGAGACAAACGATTAACTGTTTGTTGTTGTCGTTGTTTTTTTTTTTTATCTAAGGGTATTTAATTTTGTTTCTTTCCAGATTCAAGCTCAAATATGTATTTACATGAGTTGCTTTGTGGAAGTGAAGTTTATGTAGAGCCACTAAAACTACCAGAAAAGGTAGGTGATAAAATATAATGTAATCACTGAAAACTCTCTTAAATGCCCAGTTTGAATTTAGCCATTGACTCCCTCTCCTTTGTCTTTTCATCAGACCGTAAATTTTACTTTACATGTACACATCTATCCAAATTTTCTAATGTGAATAACATTAGTTTTTTTTTCATTCAGAGTCCAGAGCTTGTAGCACGTCTTAAGAAACTAAAAGCAAAACAAGAAAAAGTGGAGTATGAAAGAATGGTTTCAAATATTGATCAAAAGGTAGTGCATAATCCTGAAACTTTCTTGCTTGAGGGAAAAGGTCGCTCCAGAAACATAATTGTCTTAACTACATGAAAGACCATATTTTCTCAAATAATCACCTGAGTGCTTATTCAAAATTTTGATTAAAAGGAGGGGCATTTCTTGGAAAGAGTGGGGGGCTTATTATTCTCTTGTACTGATTCCGCTGTAGGCAAAGCTAAAACGAGAGTTAAATAAAGTGGTAGTAGAAACAGGTTTTACTTCTATATCAACCATTTAAGAAAGTGAAGGAGGTGGGGGCGCTTATTTGATAGGGGTGCTTTTTTTACATTATTGCTGATGGCATGGCCACCGTTTTGGGGTAGGACCCTTATCAGTTCATGGGCACTTGTTCATAGAAGTACTGTAAATGAAACATGGCAGTGATCAGGCTTTGAGATCAAAAGGGTAACTTTGCTGTTGGCAAATTACCTTCAACATACTAAAAATTTGTATACAGATGCTTTGACCTTGAATTTTCCTTAGTAACCTAATTGTTCAGCTGATAACATTACTTTAAAACAAATGATAATCTAACTCCATTGTTTCCCAGCTCTTGGTAACTTGTGAAATAAGATATTCTTGAGTCAAATGATGTTTTTTTTCGCGTGACAACCAGAGTAGATACTATCATGAAACAAATGTTTTAGTTCCTTCCCATTTGAAGCATATCAGGCCCAGATGATTGTGACTTGTTGTCAAAATAGTGGCCACCCCTATCATGTTTTAAGCAAAATTTTTGAATGATTGTGTTACAAGTTGGAGTCTCAAGTTGCATTACATGTAAAGGGTAAATTTTTTATGTGCAAACTTTTCCAGAGCGTCAGTTAAGGTTACTTTTTTCTGGGGCATACTTTCCCTTTTAGTAGCTTTGAGGCCTTTGCAATTCCATGTACAGTTAAGGTATCATGGAAGGAAAAAAAATCATTTTGTCTTCAATTTCCTGAAAATTTCTTATCTACTAAAAAAGGAAATAAAGATCTACTAGATTCTGAAAATTTCATATTTGTATCTTTTTTACTTCATGAGATATAAAGTAGAGAGTAGATTGGAAGAAGCAAGATTGATGACACATTATGTCAACTTCTTGTCACCTAATTAATGATAACATATCCATTATTGATTTACAATGATGCACTGTAGAGTTTTTGAAATTGCTCAATCATTATCAAGTCTATACTTACTTTAGTTCTTTGAGAGAGCTAGAGAGATTGTTCTTGTAATTCACATTTTATAGGGGTAGCACAAATAATTTTTATGCTATTTCAGTTAGAATGAAAATAGTGATTTTTCCTTCTGTGATACCTTAAGTCACTGAAAACTTACTTTCAAACATAGTGTTATTTCCTCCATCTTGCGACACCTAGTATCAGTGTCTGCATCTTACCACTATGGGAGTCATTTAAGGTCATAAACTAATAGAAGTAATTAAAATAACTGTGAGCTTGGTAGGGCTGAGACATTAGGGCACAGGGAAACCAAGCAAAGGCAAATTCCTGATAAGAGACCACCAAGATCTTGACTTTGTTAGCATTTATTTTCCCAAGGGTAGCCTGAGAATAATTATATTTTACTTTGTCTGAGGCAAAGTGGTGGGATGGTACAGAAATGAGTAGACTGACCTGAATAATTAACCCTTTAACTTCTAAGAATGACTGGCATCTAATTTCTCCTTACCATATCACCCTTGAATCAAAAATTAAGGTCAGGAGAATAAAGCAGCTGATCACCCACTGAATAAACTCTTGATTGTTAGACAAATTCTCCATGTTGGCATCTTAGGAAATGTTTAGAGAACAGTATGGAGAATATACATTCTGATATTAGGGTGTGAGGGGTTAGAGCTGAAACTTTCAATATTGTAATGCTTGCAGTTTGGGGGGTGGTTACATAGTTTGAAACCATAATTCCTACATGCCCAATTAGGAAATGTTGATTTTGAACATCAAAAGGAATTCCAAAAATCAAATATAAGAATAGAACATTCTTTGTACCAAAAAGTAACATTTGTTTCTTCACAAGCCCTTTTTGGTCTGCTAAGAAATTGTGAATTTTTTGGAGCTTGTGTGTTCTTAACTCCGGTTTTCTTTGTTTTTCTCTGTAGTGGCATCAAACTGATGGAATGCAATTTGGACAAGAAGGTGAGTGTTGACAATTTTATTGAAATTAATTACATCATCTAAATGTGCAGATGAAACTCAAGTGGAGAAATGGGCCTTGTTGGTGAGCTACAATTATGGCAATTGCAGAAAAGAGGCTTAAAAATTTTAGCTTCAATGTGATTCAAACCCATGTCTCCCAGATACTTGTTGGGTGCCACTACAAACTGTACTTAAGAGCCACAGGTAGGGAGTGATACAAATTTTGGTGGGTTCTGGTTTTCCTGTGGTGGAATCTGATAAAAATTTAATGAAACAATTCATGTTGGAGAAATAATCCTTTCAGGTGAGCTGTAATTTAAGCTCAGTCTTCTTTTCTGCAATATCACTTAAATCTGTTAAATATTTGGCTGATATCACTATTTATTTCCTTGTGGGTTTTTCATAGTAATTCATATCTGTGACCAATTTGTTTCCTCCAACACATGCTAAAACTGTGACTCATGTTTTTCCTTTCAGTTCGCTCTGGTGGCAAACAGTTGTCTTCAATAATCAACTTCCTGTTGTCAATAATTGCAACATTCACATTTGGTTACATTGCATCACAGTACGCTTTTCCTTCCATTGCTGTGGTATGTAACTTTTAAAGGTGTTATGCAACAATACTTACAGCTGTAGCTCTGGAGCAGGGAGAGGCTTAGACTGAAGCAAGTTTTAAGGGAAAAATATGGACCCCCATTATAATTCTATGAGGTTTTAATATACCCCCCC